ACCCCACTTTTTAATTGGATTGTTTGGTGCTTTTGGTGACTAGCTTCTTGAGTTCTTTATATATTTTGGAAATCAGCCCAATGTCAGATGTTGGGTTGGTGAAGATCTTTTCCCATTCTCTGGTCTGTCATTTTGTCTTGTTTACTGTGTTCTTTGCCTTACAGGAGCTTCTCAGTTTCAGGAGGTCCCATTTATTAATTGTGGATCTCAGTGTCTATGTCACTGGTGTTACTTTCAAGAAGCAATCTCCTGTACCAATTAGTTTAAGGGTACCAGCTACCTTCTCTTCTAAGAGGTTCAGTGTGGCTGGATTTATGTTGATGTCTTTGATCCATTTGGACTTAAGTTTTGTGCGGGGTGATAGATATGGATCTATCTGCAATCTTCTACATATCAGCATCTAGTTATGCCAGCACCATTTGTTGAAGATGCTTTTTTTTCTATTGTATAATTTTAGCTTCTTTGTCAAAGATCAAGTGTTCATAGGTGTGTTGGTTAATATCAGGAGTTTTGATTCAATTCCATTGGTCTGCATGTCTATTTTTGTACCAATATCAAGTTGTTTTCAGGACTATAGCTCTGTAAGAGAGCTTGAAGTCAGGGACGGTGATGCCTCCTGAAGTTCCTTTATTGTGCAGGGTTGTTTTGGCTATCCTGGGTCTTTTGTTTTTCCATGTAAAGCTGAGTATTATTCTCTCAAGATCTGTGAAGAATTGTGTTGGGATTTGGATGGGGATTGCATTGAATCTGTAGATTGCTTTTGGCAAGATTGCCATTTTTACTATGTTGATCCCACCTATCCAAGAGCATGGGAGTCCTTTCCATTTTCTGGTATCTTCTTTAATTTCTTTAAATTTGAAACAATCTTATTTTACATGTTAATCCCAGTTCTCTCTCCCTCTTATCCTCCCATGACCCCTGCCGACCCCCATCCCATCCCTCTTCTGCTCCATAGAAAAGGTGAGGCCTTTCATGGAGGATCACCAAAGTCTGTCACATCATTTGGGACAGGGCCAAGGCCCTCCCCCAGGTTTCTAGGCTTTCCCCCAGAGAGAGTATCTGTCTAGGGGAATGAGCTCCCAATGCCCATTCATACACTAGGGAGAAATGCTGTTCCACTACCAGAGAACCTGTATACTGCCCAGGCCTCCTAACTGACACCCACATTCGGGGGTGCTGATTCTGTCCTCTACTGGTTTCCCAGATGTCAGTCTGAGTTAATGAGCTCCCCCTTGTTCAGGTCAGCTGTTTCTGTGGGTTTCTCCAGGCTGGTCTTGACCCCTTTGCTCATCACTCCTCCCTCTTTACAACTGGATTCCAGGAATTCGGCTCAGTGCTTAGCTGTTGGTCTCTGCTTCTCCTTCCATCAGCTACTGGATGAAGGCTCTAGGATGGCATATAAGGTAGTCATCATTCTCTTTATAGGGGAAGGTATTTAAGGTAGCCTCTCCACTGTTGCTAAGATTCTTAGTTGGGGTCATCCTTGTATATCTCTGGAAATCACCCTACTGCCAGATTTCTCTTTAAACCTATAATGGCTCCCTCTATTAAGGTATCTCTTTTCTTGCTCTCCTCTATTCTTCCCCCCAACTCAATCTTTCTGATTCCTCATGTCTTCCTCCCCACTTTTCTTCCCCCCTTCTCTTTCTCCTAACTCCCTCTTCCTTTCCCCAATACTCCCAATTAGCTCAGGAGATCTTATCCCTTTCCCCTTCTCCTGGGAACCATTTATGTCTCTCTTAGAGTCCTCCTTGTTGCCTACTTGCTCTGGTGGTGTTGATTGTAGGCTGGTAATCCTTTGCTCTATGTCTGATATCCATATATGAGTGAGTACATGCCATGTTTGTCTTTTTGTGACTGGGTTACCTCACTCAGGATGGTTTCTTCTAGTTCCATCCATTTGCCTGCAAATTTCAAGATTCTATTTTTTCCCACTGAGTAATGCTCCATTGTATAAATGTACCACATTTTCTTTATCCGTTCTTTAGTTGAGGGGTATCGAGGACTTTCTTTTTTTTTTTTTTTTTTGATGTGTATTTTTTTCTCTCTTTTTATTATTATCATTATTATTAATTCAAGTTAGGAAACAGGCTTGTTTCACATGTAATTCCCACTTTGTTAATTGGGTTAATGGAAATAAGAAGACCCACCCCGAGCATCTCAGTCACTATTTTGTGGGATTCCAGGCCTAATAATAGTAAGGAAAGAGTAGCTAAGCTGAGCAACAACATTCATCTTGCTCTGCTTCCTGACTGTGGATACAACAGGACAAGCTACTACCAGTCCTCCTGGACACTGAGCCAAAGTAATCCCTTCCTTTCTTAAAGTGCTTTGTTCAGGTATTTTGTCACTGTGACAGGAAAAGGAACTAACATAGTTACTTTGCTTGTTGTTTCTGTTTTATCTCAACTATGCATGTTGAAGTCAGGTCAGACTTTGAAAATCTAAGGCACTTCATGACTGCAAAGCACATATGCACAGGAATCAAATGATCTTGACAGCTTCTTTTCCTCAGAAAAGATGTTCTGTGTTAGTTGCTTTTATCCTAGTTGTGGCTGGATATCTGAGAAGCATCTTCAAGGAAAGGGGGTATTTTTACATACGATTCGAGGAGGTATGATCTGGCAGGGTGTGTAGAAGTCACTGCAGCAACAGTTAGGTAGCTGCTCACCTTGCTTCTGCAGTCCAGAAGAGAATGATGGGAATTGAAATCCAGGATTTAAAAATATCAAGTGACATGCTTCCCCCTAAAGATCCCCCTAAAAGTTCCAGTACCTCCCAAAGCAGCACCTCCAGCTGGAGTTCAGGTGTTCCTACAGGCATGCCTATGGACGATGCTTTACATGTAAACAGTAACATTCTCTTTCTAGTCCCCTCATTTCCGAGTCTTTCCTAGCCCTTCCTCTACTTTCTGATCATTGTTTTCAAAAGCCCCACTCCTTAAAATGGTGATGCTCTGCACAGCCTGTGTCTAAGGCCCTTTCTTATCACCTTTTGGACAATCCCACAGAAATTGTCACTTTGCTCAACTATTTGGTATAGATAGAACAAGCTATGTTCATCTTAGACATAAGACCCATAGGATTTGTACAGTGAAGTCTTTCTGTTAGCCATAACTGTTAATTTGAGTAAGCCATGGATCAGTACATGGACCTCAAACTTGTAAGTTTTCATTATTCCAGTTCAGTTTACAGGCCAACATTTAATGTTAGAACAAGAAAAAAAAATGGCTCCATTCTCCCAGATTCTAACTTGTACAAGCTGAACTTGATAAATTCTGTCATTCTGGCCCCCTTTCCCTCTATAAAGTCTTGATTCTCTCTGTGAATTGCTCACAGTTGCCTGTAGATGATGATTCTAGATCTAGATGCCTAGAGATAATATCCCCAGATTGACTGAAGCTCTACCTAGATGCTTCCCTCATGTGCGTGATTTTCTTTTCTTTCTCCTTAATAACCTGGGGTGGGGGGGAACTGTAGTTTTACATAGCTTCCCGGGAGCCTCTATTTTCATTACTAAAAATCCCTGAAACACAGATTGGACAGACTTTGACCTGCTAACTCTGGAGCTTCCTTAAGACTGGCAGACTACTAAGAAAACAATCAATACACAAAATAGGTTTTATACAACATGTGATGTATAAAAATTACAAATTTCCCAATTTCTGCCATGCTGTGTGTCATTCACAGTGGCTACAGATATGAAGAGCCTTAATGCAGCTTTGTTGAGGGTATCTGTAGCATTCCTTCTCATGTAATATCCTGAATGTTCTTGCTCCCTCATCATATGTGACTATCACTTTGAGCCATTCCGGAGCCATAGGCAATCTTTCTTGCTTACTATTTACTTTCAGGCTTATGCTTTTTGCTTTTGTTTTCGTTTTTGAAACAGGGTTTCTTGTGTAGTCCTGTCTGTCCTGTTACTCACTCTTCAGACCAAACTGGCGTCAAACTTACAAATATCCTCCTGCCTCTGCCTCCAGAGTTCTGGGATTAAAGGAGTCTACCACCATCACTCAGCTCAGTGATAACTATTGGATCCCCAGTTGCTGGATTCCTCTACCACTGATACAATAAGCCAAATCCCACTGAATTAATAAATCCAGATTTAATAAACAGGGCAATGCAAAGCAGAGCACTCCCAGGTGGCCCTCAGGAAGGCAGGGCACAGAACACGAGGGCACATGAGGCAGATCATGTGGACCAGGTTTAAGTAGCTGATTGATAGGCATGGTCCCGGGCATCTCCAAGGGAGGAGCCACTGATGTCGGGCTTTCTGAATGGGCTAGGATATGCATATGGAATAATTCTTGGGCTGGAAGACATGAAGCAAAACCTATTTCCTTTCCAAGAACAAACACTTGAGTGTTACATCTTTTGTGCTCCAGGTATCTCATCTTCTCGTAGACAGCCTGGCCTTTGCACTCTAAGAGCAGTCCTCTGGCTACTTAGCCTACATCAGAATTAGAAGCTTGTTTTTATTGCATAACAATAAGTCCAGCATCCACTGTGTCTTTCAAATGCCATGGAAGACCTAGGCTCATTCCATCCTTTTACCATGTGTACTTAACATAAAGATTTTTTTTTCTTTCACTTGCAAAATAGAGACCCTACCTCTATGGTCACCTCTGTGTCGAGGGAGGAAGGAAGCAGAAAACAAATGTGCCAGTCTTTGCAATAGGGTTTTTCTTCTGGGCAATTCTGTCCCCTCAAATCTAAATAGATATTATTTCTGATCAAAACTATGTCTCCTAGACAAGCCAGTCTGCAACCATGGCTGGGATGCCAACTATTTTAATTTCCTAGCCTTTATGATAATGGAGTATATTTTACAAATATACCACCTCTTCTATCGAAGTCTGCATCAATTTAAGGGAATTATATTCATGGACTGTATATACTATGTGTATACCGCTGTGTATATAATGGTGTGTATGTCTGTTACATTTTATATTGGATTTGACGAGGTTCCCTAAGGCACTACAAGTAATTCTCAAGTGGTAAACATTTTGCAGAATAATTTCTTAAAGATCATACTGCAGGGCTAGAAGTATGCAAAGGGGATATGAGAAAATGGCAGGCAGGCAACAACAGGAAAAGAAATACTGGAAATAAAAGATAGAAGGTACAAAACTGAATCGGATGTCAGGACAAGTTAGCAGCCACTGTAAGTGCTTGTTTCTCAAAATCAGAGTCAGCATGCACTCAGTCTCCTCTTCCCAGGGTGTTGATGAGGGTGCTGGAGGGAGAGAAAAACATCCAGATGTTTCAGTGCCTCTATAAAAACACATATGTAATGTTTTTAAAAGAGAAAAATTATTGATTGCATTATACCACATAAGAATATTCAAACACAGACAAAAATATCTTTTTCTCTTTTGTCTCTTAGGAACTCAAAACTAGCAATAGTCTTTAAACTGTACCCAGAAGAAATCTGCTAACAGTGTGCTGTATACAAAAACTAGAGGGTGTCCAGCCCAGGATGTAGCTCAGTTAACTGGTAGAGTATTTGTCTAGTATGCACAAATTCCTGGCTTCCATTCCCAGCACCACACAAACCAGGGGTGGGGGTACACACCTGTGATCCCAGCACTTAGGAAGGGGAGGCAGGAGGATCAGAAGTTCTAGGTCATCCTTAATTTTACAATGATTTCAAGGCTACTTCTGTCTGAAATGAAAAGACATGGCCATGAATGAAAGGTACTTTGCTCACTTCACTCCTATTTTATAGTTCAGACTTCAATTTTATACTTACTCTCTCCTTTTCTTGCTCATTTTCTTCCTGCACACACACACACACACACACACACACACACACACACAATCTCTATATCCTTCTAGTATTTGGAGCAAATACACACATTTTCAAAACAGCAATATGTTTTTTGGAATAAAAGCAAAATATTAGAGGATCTAGTTTAAGGAGAGGAGTCCTTTAAAATTATTCTCTTTAGTTTTATGTCTTTAAAAATTAAAATGCGACAGAAATAACCTATTCTACTGCCTAGCTCTTTTTTTGTTGCAGTTTATATCCTTATGCATGAAAATACACATATAATTTACCACACACTTATTATGCAATCCTGAAATAGTAGCAAAAAATTGTTATTTCCATTTAAGGTTTATGTCTCTAACATCTTAATACTATATTATAGCTTTCACTTCCAAAAGCACTTCAAAATCCATTTTTAATATTTATCTATATACCATGATTCCACAATTATAAGTATGTTGTAAGCTTATAATATTGCTCATAATTAATACATTTAAGAGCGATCTCATGAATAGTATTTAACATTTTATCACACTAGGATGGTCACATTTTAAATTCATCAAATCACCTGACTTACTAGTCTGCACCTGAGATGTACCAGTATTTGTGACTGCTTTTTTTCTTCTCTGTGGTCTGTGCTAAGGAGACTGGGGACAGACTCTGTCATCCTCTCCAGTAATCACCAGCATCTACTGGTGTATGGCCCATGGTTAGTGTCCAGCACACGTTTCAGAATGAATGGATGAAATCTTCGTTCATCTTCAGCTTTTGTTTTTGCTTTTTGCTGCGGTTCTTGGCAGGTATGCAGCTGATTCCTTCTCTCCCAAAAAGCAATCTACAACTGGATAAGGTGAGACACAACTGGAATATCATCTGTTTGGAAGGATGAGACAGAAAGACCACATGTTCAGGGCCACCCTAGGAAATTTAGGAGACCCTATCTCAAAATAAGCATAACACAGAGCAGGAAGTGAAGGAGTGGGAGATGAGGATGTTATTTCAGTTACAGAGCTCTTGCCTAGTGTGCACAAAACCATGGGTGTAATTCCTTGTGGCCCAATAAGTACATACATGAATGAATGAATGATCCTTTTCTGTACTGCAGAACTTGAAGCTTAAAGGATAATTCCACTTATTTCACAGAGTTATGTAGCAAGTTGATCCTAGATAAAACATTCTAATTTAGAGGAACACTCTTTAAGATGCAGGATGTTCTTTAGGGAGGTGAAGTATTCCACCCTGCAGGGAAGCTCATTGAGGCTCAGGAAGTGAACAGCTCAATAGCTTCAGTAAGACCCTAAAACTGACCAGATTCACTTAGCTCCTCCTTCCCCAGTTTAATATACACAGTAAGAACTGTTGAATAACACTCTAATTAGTTGATCTGCCTAGAAGAGACACTCTCTAGCCTGCCAAGCTGCCTTCAAGTTGTGTTGTGAGCTCTACAGTTCCAGTTTTCCTGGGCTGTCATCTATATTTGGATGGGCTTCTGGTCATACAGCTGTCTTTGATTTCTGCTTCTTTGAGTAATCCCTCACCCACACTCCTACAAGTAACCCCAGTAAACACTGGTTCTTCAAGTTGGACCTCAGTGGTATCCTTCCTTTGGATATCTTAGATGGGTAGATATTTGTTCATAATTCCCAGGAACAGTGTGGTATAATACTCAACTATCTACACAGATGTCAGTATGATATAATACTCAGCTATCTACACAGTGTCAGAGTGGTACAACATCCAGCTGTCTACACAGTGTCAGTGTGATACAACGCCCAGTTATCTACACAGATGTTAAATTGCTTGAGGTAGTACTGAGATAAAATTTTAAGACTTCTTCTACAACGCCCAGTTATCTACACATGTTAAAGATGTTAAATTGCTTGAGGTAGTACTGAGATAAAATTTTAAGACTTCTTTGGTGCTGTTTGAATCCAAATTACTGACCATTAAGTACTTGGTTTTCACCTAAGGCATTCTGCTGTGAAAACCAAAGTTGTTTTTTGTTTTGTTTTGTTTTGTTTTTTTTATTCATACAAACAAGTGGATCAGCCACAGGCTACTCCCGCCAATCAACTTCCACACAGAAGGCACAAGGCAGCATGTCCTTTAAAAGGGTAAATTCCCCTGAAGTAGTTGGGGAAGAGTGGTACATTAAAGGTCAATGACATTTAAATAGGAAAGTTCATAGTGTTTCTCAAAGAAGGAAGGCACTTCATAAAACTCAGGAAGTAAATGAAACTTAGGAAGACTCAGGGAACCAATGAAATTTAGGCATCTTAGAAATTTGCAAAATTCATAAGGGTGTAAGAGGAACATGCAAATTCTGGAGAGAAGAGACTCTAACAGACAGAGCAAGCTGCAAGTCATGCAAGGTGCTCCAGGGATATAGGCTTTGTGAGTTGTCACCCTGATTGGGCTGCCTTTGGGTCACTTATGCTCCTGTGAGTAACCCCTCACTCATATTCCTGTCTAACCTCAATAAATTTATTGATTCTGTAAAACAGACATGGGTGGCATTGTTAGCATGGCCTTACAGGCCATAGAGGATGAACTTCTCACTCATGATTTGGGGCCCCATTTCTGGGTTATCTCTGACTCCGGGTGGAGACATGATATTCCAATCTGCTTCAAGGATTAGAGTATTCTATTCTATTGTCTCCTCCCTTAAATGTTAATCTATCTGTTTTTGTCAATCATCTGGCCAAGAGATCAACCACTCTTCAGGAAAACTGATTCACCAAAAGCCATGCTAGGGAGATGGGAGGAATAATTATCCCCTCCATGAGAAAACATACTTACCATCCTTAGAACCCTGCCCTGATACAGTTGATGCCCTCTTGGCATACAGGCAGAAAGCTGTTTTCTTTTATGATTAGTAAATAAAAGGCTGTAAGAAGTGTAACTGGGAATCCAAGAAAGTCCAGGCAGAGCCACCAGATAATCCAGAGAAAACTGAAGTCCTGGGTATCTTAGTCTCATTACACACTCACACACACACACACACACACACACACACATACAGAGAGAGAGAGAGAGA